ATATATACATATACACATACACACACACATATATATATATATACATACACACAAACATACACATATATAGAAACATACACACAAACACACACACACACACACATATAAATACACACAAGCATACAAACACGTATATATATATACATATACACATACACACACACATATATATATATATATATATATATATATACACACCTACACACAACGTGTGATAGTAATACTTTATATAAAAGTTAATTTCTTCACTTCCAGAACCAATCAGAAATTTATAGCTCTTACTATAGGTAAAATAAGTTATCTTTAATTTATTAATTGCCGTTCCTGTAATATCAAATAAAAACTGTATCGCAATTATTTAAAACCAGTGTAATGTATTAAGCTTTAAAAGATTAATTTTTCTAAAGTTTAACGTCAACTGATTTGTTAAAGTTCTGAACCAAAATTATTTTAAGACATGAAAATATTAATTATAGTTTTTACACTTTTGCGTTTTTCTTGTTCCCCGGTGTAACAGAGGTAAGTATACGGACTTATAACGCTAAGGATATTCGGGGTTCGATTCCCCGCGGTGGACACAGTAGATAGCCCAATGTGGCTTTGCTCTAACACAAAACAAAAAAAACAAGCGTTTCTTTTCCAATAGGATCATAACATTGAATAAGGAATTCAAAATCCGCATTTGATTTATTTTGTAGTATAAAAGTCTACATTTATTGCTTTAAATAACAATCTATTCGTATGACATTTTATAATAAAGTTATATTAACGCTAAACACTTCTTTATCAAACAAGTTATAAGCATTTGGGAGAATTTGCAAAAACCGCAGAAAAAAAAAGTTCTTTCAATGCAAAAAAACAAAACAGAACGTAGTTTATTTCTTACAAGATAATTTTCTTTTTTACAACTATGGCAAATAAAAATCTAGTTTTTGTTACATGCAGAAGTCCTGAACCTGCGTATTATTTAATCGTGTTTCACAAACTTATCAAAAGTTCCTCAACAAGTCCCAAGTTTAATTTCGGAAGCACAGAAAAGTTTTATTAAAATATATTTAAGAATTATACAGACTAAGAAATATGAAAAGAAAATGTCTGGTTTGAAAATAATTTACTTGCTACAGACGAAATTGTTACAGAACTTTTTACTCTACTGTAAAATATTCACTTTTATTTTTCATCTGAAGATCGTATTTTGTGTTTTATAGCCTAAGTGGAGTCGCGGTTAATGAATCAGACTGTAGACCTGAGGGTCTCTATAAAACACAAAATACGATCTTCAGATGACCTAAGTGGAGTCGCGGTTAATGAATCAGACTGTAGACCTGAGGGTCTCTATAAAACACAAAATACGATCTTCAGATGACCTAAGTGGAGTAGTCGTTATGAATCAGACTTCAAACCTGAAGGAATCGGGTTCGAGACTTCAGTATTACCAAAAATGCTTTATGTATATATATTGATGTGTTGGTGAGTTATAACAGTGGCAGTTAATCCCACTATTCAGATAAGAGTATCCAGCTAATTGTCATCTCTCTGGTCTACACGAGTATATGAAATATTTAGGGGAACAAACAAGTTATTCGAAAAATGTGGTATCTGTAGGCGAAACTTGAAACTAACTTTATTTGGTGCTTGAAATAACCTGTGAAATAAAAATGTTGTTTTTTTTTCATTTATTCTCTATACGTTTTTAGGTCATTGTTTAGTTAAACATCTGTAAGAAGATATTAAAGTTAGCCACAAGCTATTCGTCATAACACATCAATAACTATATATATAAGCCTTAAAACGTTAAGACAAGCGTTTTGAGTTAACGTGTAATATAGTTTCATAGCGCTTTGCACCATGTACAAACTTTCTTTAAAAAAACGTGGATAAGCAGAATGTAAGATATAATCCATTTCAGATATAGAGTTTTTTTTTACAATAACCGTGTATATGTCGAGATGAAAGAACAACAGTAAATTCACATTGTTCTGAGAAGACATAAATAAAAATCCTAAATTTGCGTCAATCCACTTTTGACTAATATAGATACAATAGTATTTATTTCTTTAAATCGATATGGACAGAAGTAGTCCTTTCATCTGTCCTAATCTAGTTTAATGCGATTTTTTCAAAATTGATTCTTCTCCAACTTGCTCATAACGAACAGCTGTATTAAAAGATATCTCGTTTCCAGAAAACTTGGATCCAGGAGAACAATACCACAATACACAGTGGATATATATATATATATATATATAAGAACACATGGCGTAATGAAGAAATAACTTAAGACAACATACCAAAAAATATGTTATTTGGAAACAGCCAATTAAGACATGACGCAGAATACCGTCATGGAAAATTAAACAACAATAAAAACAAAACAGGACACAATGAATATTTGTAAGAATTAGGGTGGGAGTAAAAACTGGACATGATTAAGGAAGTTTTCCTTCTAACCTTTTTATTTTTCCATTTTACTTCTAGATTTGTCTATATTCTCACCTCAATTCATGGAACTTTAAGTATGATCATAGACACGGTCGCTTATACCAGCTAATGTATAAATGATTGTTGTACAGGTGTTGCTAACTGAGTATCGTCATAAGCTTCTCATGGTAACGATGCACATCGCTTGTGTGTTTTTACACTTTCTAACAAGTTTTATACCATACGATTTTATTACAAACAGAGTAACAGTTCATTGTAATATGGAACTTCGGTTTGTTCTGCAATCCAACAAAAATGTAAATCATGTAAAAGTACTAGGTCAAAATGTTTAGGGACCAATAAATTTAAAGCATGCATCACAGGGGCAAGGAATATTGGAAGGTTACAATAAAAAAAGTCACCAAATCTATAATTGTTCAACCTTCTTAAACTTTGATCTTTGTTAATCGAACTTGTGTTTGGCGCCCTCTTTCTCTTCATATTAGAAACATCACACATACATACAACACTTTCTTTCATGAATTCTACGTTTTCAGGAGGAGAAGGATTGTTAGTTTGGGAAGGGATTGCTTTGTGTATATATATATACATTCCAGTAGCGTGGGAAGTACATTTTCTATCAGACGTAACTTCTGTTCGCAAACCTAATGTGTGATATAAAATTATAATTCAAAATATAAGCAGACATAGGTGTCCAAACTCACAACGTTCCATGTCCAAAAATACCATTCAACGTTTGCAGCCAGCGGAAACATAGTTGCTCATAATCAGAGGCGTCGCTAGGTGCTTAAAAGGTTCGTGGCACGAGAATTTTCGGTATTTCTGTATATCGATCAGGATTTTCATTCTGATTTTTAAGACACCAACTGGAGATTCGATGCACAGTCGAAC